GCTTCCTCACAAATAGGGGCTCGGAGGTCATGCTTTTTCTGATTCTGTACCTCTCCGTTTACTGGCAGCCCCTGGTCGGGACCTTAAGCCTCTGGGCCGAGGCCAGGCTCAGAAAAAGAAAATCTGTTTCCCCTGGAGCAACAGAAACAAAGACGAGCCTGAAAGCCAAATAGGAGATCAGACAGTCACGGGGCATGCCAGCTGGCCCCTCCGAAGTTTGGAGTGGGTAAGGGGGGAGGGTCCCCAGGCTGCCACCCCTGATTTCTTTCCGAAAACCATTCTCTGTGACTAGAGACATTTGGCCTTTTCCTCCTCTGCTTGGGGCAGAGTGTCACATCTCCCCTATGTCTGCAACCTTATGATTTCAAGGGTTGGGCTTTAAAAACTATTTTCAGTTCACCCTACAACTCCTTTGATACAGTCAGTAGCATTGTTGAACTGGAAGGGAACCCCCAAGGGTCATCTGCCTCAGCCCCCTACCCAAACAGGGAATATTATTAATATCATTTAAATTTTAGATGTCCTGCTTTTTAACAGTCACAACTACTGCCTTTGATCCTAAACCTGGGATAATAAGAGATTTAAACCCTGTAAATATTTGGCACGTGTGTCTGCTGGTTTTTTAAGTGTGTAAATAATGATATAGTCAATTTTAGGGGTTCTTTAAGTTCTCTCCTCTGCAGAGCCAGAGGTTGGGAGTTTGAGACCCCACTTGTGCTTCCAGGGAGAAAAGACAGCCTGGGTGGCCTTGGGCCAGCTGCACAACAGTCCCAGGTCGCCCCCTAGAGGAAGGGAATGGGAAACCACTACTGAGTATTCTCTACCTGGAAACCCCTGAAAAGGGTCACCATAAGTCAGAACTGACTTGATAATAATAATAATTATTGATAATGATGATGATAGTAAGCTAGACACCTTCAGATTTTCTTCACTAGTTTTTAATGGCTTTTATGATTTCATGTCAGCTTCTTGAGGAGGAGTCTTTGCCCTGAAACGTAGCGAAAGTCTTTCAGATAAACAGAGAAGTTGGTCCAGAGCAGTAATTCATACGGAGGTGCAACAGGGAACCTCTTTTGAAGGCAGATATTTCTCCTTTTTACTGAGGGTACAAGGAGGCAAGCCTGGAGTCTTAAATTAAGCGCAGATACAACTTTTAGCTTCCTGGTTAAGTAGCTATTTTGGGCTCACCAGAAACTTGATGTTTTAAAATATTTATATATTTGTTTCGGGGGGGACAGGGACCTTTAGGAATTAAGTAGCCTCCTTTACATATAGAGTGTCCAGCTGTCATCTTGGAGACCAGGTTCAGCTGTGAAACTCTCATGGGACCAGTTATTCTCTTTCTCCTCCTGACTTTGCATGGCTGTTGGGAAGATAAAATGGGGAGAAGAGGTGTGCTTGCTGCCTTGAGCTTCTTCAAGGTGGCATAAATGTAACCACCTATCCATGCAATCAGTAGCCGCAGTTTCACTTATCCATAGTCTGAAAATATTTAAAATATTAAAGGAAAAAAAACCTAGAAATGTGTAATACTGTATATATATTTTCACCATGTATTTACCAGAACTGGTCACTAGAGGGAGGAAGAGACCATGCTATGCATTCTTTCGATAGTGACTAGTTCTAGTAATTTTACATGGTGAAAATACTTTTTTCTGCATTTTTTCTTTCTTTTACCATGCTGTGTGTAGCGTTCACTATTATCAGTTTTCAGCATCCATGGGTGGGGGGGCTTGGAACCAACCCCCCCCCAGAAATGGGGGGCTTACTGTAATAAATAAACCAAGATTGCTGGGTTACCGTGATTGCTGGCCCATCATTCTGTTCCTTGTGATAAAGTCAGATAAACAAATTATGAACTCCTCGTTTAGCATCACGTCCAAGCCTGAGCTCCTTGTTTGCTTGCTCAAATACAAACAAGGATTCCGAAGCCAGAACTAACGATCATTTGATCAACCAAAAGTCCTGATTTCCTTGGCATGCTAGGCAAGCTATTTTGTATTTGCTTTAGCCAGCTAGGTTAACGAGAGAGCAGGCAGCCGGGAGTAGAGGTTGGTCCCTGAAGACCCTGACCACCTAGGTGCTTTTGAGTACTTCTACCCACACAGAAGTGGTCGCGTTCCTGAGGCTCATTGAAGAGAAGGCGGTTGGTTGCACATCTGGCCATGCCCCAAGTATCCGGCTGGAACATACCCAGCTAGGTGCAATTAGCCATGACAGCCTCCAAAACTTTCCTCTGCATAAATATCCCATAGGGAGCTTCTGGGACCAGAGGTCTACCTGATACCTGGCATTCAAAGTTAGGAGCATCCCTTCTTGCCCTGCCTTCTGTGCTGACATGGCGTGAGCCATTGGCCTTGATGAAACCTGTCCACACCCTTTCCCCCCAGCCTGAGGCCCTCCAGAGGCAGCCTTCATCCTCCCTAGCCCCGGTTGCGGACAGCGAGAGGTGGAACCAAACACATCTGGAGGATGTGTTTCTCTTTGGCTCGCAGTAAAGCAGATGCTGAAATAGCCACAGCCTCTGAACAGGATTTGAACTCGTGGGCAGCCCTGGCTGGGTTGTCCGGGAGCTTTGTTTATCCAGTCTTTCTCCAAGTTAATGAGTGACCAGCGTTCGGGCAAAGGTCTTGGCCGAACAGAGATCCTCTCTCCTCCTTTTCAAATTTTCCTTTCTGGTACCTCTGCTTCAGTGACGCTCAACCAGTGGGTCTGGCCTCCAGGGGTGTGGGGAGTGAATTGGTGCATGCAGGCGAGGCCCAAGCAGTTGGGAAAAGTGTATGCAATAATATGATATTACACACACACAAATATACCTGTACCTTTCTTAATGCACAGCTCATTACTCCATCTTCTTGATGTTCATTAGGATGCTTTGTTCCTAAATTGGCCAAAACTTGGATTTGGGGTTTTTTTTAGTCTTGATACTTCCTATTTTAAATATAATTCTTAGGAGGAGGCAGCTCTGAAGGGGGCGATGAGTTAAATATGTTTATCAAAAAAGGGAGCGTGAGTGTCAGGAAGATGAGCAACATGTCTTTCGCTGTTATCTCACGCAGGGTTTTACAACATTACTTTTCAGGCAGTAATTCCCTTGATCCATACTGTCAGGGAGTTGATTCCAGGAGATCTTGTTGTCAAAAAAGTTATTTATTTATTTTATTTATTTTTTCGGCTTTTACCCCGCCCATCTAGATTCAACGAATCTACTCTGGGCGGCTTAGAGTCTGAATCTAAAACAAGAATTAAAACGAGTTACATTTCCAGCTCAGATCTTAAAGCAGAGGCAGAGAATGGCCTCTGAGCGATGCATTCTCTGGGGTTTTGTAGGGCTGCACTTTTGAGCCAAAAGGATGGGAGAAATCACTCAGTTTTTCATTTTGCAAGTAAATGCATAAGAGTTTTTTAAAATGGAAACGTGGCAAAGAGAAAGGCTTACTTAAAACTGATGTGTAGCGTTAGTTCCCATTTCACCTGTCTCTTATTCTTCTGTTACAACTGCGATGGACTTTTTTTTTTAAAAGAGAGACTCAAAACCTATATAATAGTTCTGTGTTAGGATTCCCAGCCAGCTTGGGGGGGAAATGTACTTGAGACTGAAAGGTGATTGTCTTTGTTTTTCCCTGGTGGTGGTTGTTTTTTAAGACCTGCAGGATGAAAGTTCGGAGGCCATGGGTAGAGTCCTCACCTTTTGCCCTGGACAAGCTGGGAAGGGCAGTTGATTTTGGAGATGCCCCATCAGGGGGTTGCCTCTGGGTTAAAGCGGTAGTCCAAGAAAGCAGAAGCTGGCTTGGCCGGTCCCCACACTGCAGTGTCACCTGGTGACAGCAAGCATCAATTAACAGCCAAAAAAGATGACTGAATAGGATGAGGTTTTATTGGAACAGGAAGAGAAAGAGTCGTCCCATTGTTTTCCATCACAGAAAAGAGCTGGAAAAGGTTCAGGAAAGAGAAACCCAATAAAATGGAGGACCACAAGATAGGCTGGCTGGGACAGAGAGAGAGGAAATGTTGGTTTTTTTTCAGACAACAAATCCCAGTATCCTCCTGTCTGAGCTGGCAGGGGGATCCTGGGACTTGTAACTCTTCTCCTGTTCCACCACCACCACCACCCCCCGGGCTGGGAATGACAGGAAGTGCCATCAAACCCATGCTGGGGTTTGCAAGTGGTTTCCTCCTCAGTATGAACTTATTCAAAGTTTAAAAAACATTTTCATAGAACATTTGTCAAAGGTTTGAAACACGGCAGCTCCTAGTATCCAATGATTCCGATTTTCAAGATGCAAGATGGTGAAATTTTAGCACGCAGAAAATCAGTGTGATTGAATATAGATAAGGTGTTGTGTTTTTTTTGGAAAAATTGCAATTTAGATTCTGGATTTATTTGGCGTTCATTTCCCTTTCCACGTTTTCCTTGTATCATGTACCTAAATTTTGTCACAGATTAATTTTATGAAACTGATTCATTTTAAAGTGGGAAATTTTGTACAAGAAAAATATAACTGTGGGAATATTTCTCCCCATAACCTCTTTTCCTAAAGATGCATACAACAGTATCACCTTAGATGGGGAGATGTCAGTTTTCTGATGATGAAGCTGGTATCTTATTTTAAGCCCCTCACGTATTAAGAGACCCCTTCTTATCCCTTAACTGCTTTAGGAGGAAACGGGGCTAGAGGAGAGAGGGGGGGAGAATGACATGCAGAAGTAGGTTCTGCTGGAGGAAGTAATCATACGTTTTAAAAACAATTAATATAATCAGAAGAAGAAGGTTATGGAGATGGATCACGAGAGCCTCTAGGAACAAAGAAGAGTAACAAGGCGTACAAGAGTAATGAGCTTTGCAAACCACCTCCTGGCCTGATCGCCTGGAGGTAGTTTCTGTGCCCCTATAGGCGACCAGAGGAGCCATTATTTACAAGCTTGCTCTGGATGCCTGCATTCAGAGATAACCTGTTGTGTATTCCCTGCCTGACATTTTGTTCCTTCTTCCAGGGATTATTCCAAAGATAGTAATGAAAGCAGCTGGTTCCGCTCCCTTTTCGTCCACAAGGTGGATCCCCGGAAGGATGCACATTCCAACCTCCTGTCCAAGAAAGAGACCAACCACCTGTACAAGATCCAGTGTGAGCTACTACAGAACATTCATTCCTATACAGTGGGATCCCCATATCCTCAGGGATCAGTTCCAAGGTTTCCTGCGGATGCTAAAAACATAGATTACAGTGGTGTCTCGCTTTACGATTGCCCCGCATTATGACGAATCCGCTTAATGATGATCTTTTTGCGATCGCAAAATGATGGTTTAAATGGGGGAATTTTGCTTTGCGATGATCGGTTCTCTGCTTTGGGAACTGATTCTTCACAAAACAACGTTTTTAGAACAGCTGATCGGCGGTTTCAAAATGGCCGCCAGGTAATTAAAATGGCTCCCCGCTGTGTTTAAGGACAGATTCCTCGCTAGACAGGCAGCGAAAATGGCCGCCGTATGGAGGATCTTCGCTGGACGGTGAGTTTTTACCCCATTGGAACGCATTGAACGGGTTTCAATGCGTTTCAGTGGGGTTTTTTTCACTTTACGTTTTCGCTTAACGGTGATTTTCCTGGAATGGCTTATCGTCGTTAAGTGAGGCACCACTGTACAGTATAGTGAATGCTATTTTAATAGCAATCCCTATACATAGCATGGCCTGTGGCTCCCTCTAGTGGCCAGTTCTGGAAACTTCAGCTTTAGAAATACATATTCCCAGAATTTTTCTTTTAATATTTTTAATATTTCCAGACCATGGATCAGTGAGTCCATGGATACTGATTCCATGGATAAGGGGGTCCTGCTGTACTGCTTTTCCCTTCCGTGTTGTTGCACACCTGCATGTTTGTGGGCGAGAAGGGAGGAAGGCTTGGCCTGCAGACAAGGTCCAGCTTTCCAGACCATGGATCAGTGAGTCCATGGATACTGATTCCATGGATAAGGGGATCCTGCTGTACTGCTTTTCCCTTCTGTGTTGTTGCACACCTGTGTGTTTGTGGGCAAGAAGGGAGGAAGGCTTAGCCTGCAGACAAGATCCAGTGTTCACAGGGTGGTTACAATTTGGTGTCACTTTCGTATTTCCTGGAGTTTGATCTTCTTTCATCAAGGCCATGAGATGAGGAATGCTTTGTGCTTGAGCAGAAAGAGTTTGAGCATCCTCTTTGTGGCCAGAGGAATAAAAACCAGACCCTCGTGAAATCTGGAAAAGTTTCTGGCCACACAGGTATATTTCTACCCTTGCGGCTTCCTGCCATTGTCTCACAGGCATTCCAGCTTCTGCTGCCTAGTCTTTCCCAAACATTTCTCCTGCCGTCCACTCTGTTGATTCTCCCTGCAATTCCAGAAGTGCAGTATGTGCGTCAGCATTTTGCATGCATACTCAGCATGCAACTTAAGTGAAAGAAGAAATCTGCATTTGTTGATGCATTTGTGATTTGGAAATTTAGGTTCTGTGAGTCTAAAATAGGATTTCAAGGAGTACTTTTGGATTAAAAGGGAGCAGAAAATATTGGTGCCACTGAACGCTGGAGTTACAGTGGTTAGTTCTGACTGCGTCATGACAGTCCCCACAGTTCGTCCTACAAGAAAAATCCACAAATTTTTGTTGATCCATATCAATAAAATTGCTTTAAGTCGTTTTAACCTTCGCTGGGAATGTAGTATACTGTTGCCAGCAGTTTAGACATGAAAGGCTGTGCGTTGTGTTGTTTTGAGGGGACAGCAACTTTACACTGTTGCACAAGCTGTATACTCACTGCTTTACATTGTAGCCAAGTGTCATTTCTTCAGTGTTGACGCATGAAAAGATAAGACTAAAATATTTATGAAATGTGAGGAGGTGTACTTATTTCTGTGATATACTGTAAGTCTTTTGTAAACCAAGTGTTTCTTTATTGTACCTTCAAGACCAAGCAGTCAATAATTTGCATTATAATAGGGATAGCCTGCAGTCCTACTGGGAATAGCCTTTCCTCCAGCTTCTAAGAGAATTGTAGCTGAGTTTAAAGAGAGCAGGGAGTTCTGAGGAGGTTAGCAGATGATGTCATCATCAGTCCTAATTAAATACATTTCAGCACTTTGATCCTGCCAGTCCTGGTCTCACTATACCACTGATGCTGAGTAGCCACTTCCTTGTGCTCCTGCTCTCCAAAAGAAAGGGACCGGAAGCTCATCTCGTCAACTGGCAAGTTGGCCAAAAGTTACTAGCGGTTGCCAGTCGTGTGTGAATTACTTTCTGCTCTTTGGAAAATATGCTTTCAACCCTTTTTTTTAATCACTCTTTTTTCTTTTGTTTCAGTCCATAATGTGAAACCTGAGTGCCTTGATACTTACAACAGCTTAACGTAAGTGTCTCCTCATTCCACACACAAGGGAATCTGTGATTTCTAGGAGAGATCCCCCTGCAACAGTTAGTCCGTTGTAAAAAGCAGTGGAGTAAAAGCAAAAATCAAATTCAGCCACTGAGAACTGCAACAAAATGTTGCAGTGTATATGCCTGCTTATTCAGTGTCCCAGCTAGCTGGCCACTAATCCAGTTCCTCTCCTCCTCTGCAACACTAGATTTTCTTTTCCCCCCCTCCCCTTGTTTGGACGTTTGTGCCCAAATAACATGTTCTGTCTTCACTAAAATGATTTTTGGGGGAGAAAGGTCCACCCTTGATGTTGTTCCCACCCACCCACTTAAAATGTTATATTTCTGCAAAGAGTGGAACACACATGCTAAATCTCTTTCACTTACCATGAAGTGAACTCGTCCACGAAAGCTCACATTAAATATATAAAAGTCTTTTAGGTGTCACCACATTTTTTTCTTTTACTTTTTATTTCTCTTTCTTTCCTTTTACCTATAAGGCTTCCACAGAGTAACCCGGCTACCTCTTCTACAACTTTCTCCCTCAAAGGACCCTGCCTTTCTGTATCAAAACCATTCAAGTCACTCATTCAAACAAGACAGTAAAAGGGATCTTTGACTGCGCTCTTCAGAGTGTGGGATGAGTGTGCATGATCCAGGAAGCCAATAAGGAAAGAGGTGTGGATTTAAAGCCCCCGGATCTTCCTTTCTTGTGGGTCAAAACGGTTGTTCTTTGTGCACATATGCAAGTTTGCTGTGGCCACCGCTCAGATTTTAGTTCTCGTCTGCCGCCTGGCATAGTCACAAAGCCCTCTTTCCTCTCTTAGTGTGACCCACCGTGCAGGAATAAAAGTGAGGATGAAGTGGGAGCAGGAAACCTCCATTTCTGGTCAGGGAGAATAGAAGTGTGACACATAAATTACGTAATATGATGAGGGTCTCATGGGGGAATACATGGCCAGGTAGGAGTTCCACAGGCTCTCCAAAAAATCTGAATAACCAGCTAGGAATTAAGATGGGCAAGGAACCCACTTCACCTGTTGATTTCCCGTCTTCCTTCGCAGGGAGCAAGTGCTTCCGAAGCTGCATTCTGATGCCGATTACCCCTGCGACCTGGTTGGCAACTGGAATACCTGGTATGGTGAACAGGACCAGGCAGGTGAGGGGGTGGGGGGCAACTCACCAAGTTGACCCGAAGATTCTCTGTTATGCTATTTTTATCCATTTGCTGGTATTTATTTTAGCCTTGGAATGTTGCTTTTCAGGTTTTTTTTTAAAGCCCTCCTTTAGCTGCATTGATGGCAGTGCCAGAGCACTAGCAATACCTAAATTAGAGGTATTATTGAAACATGAAGAAAGAAACAGCAGCTTAACTGCGTGTGGGGGATGCTTTCCTTGCGCCTAGTGCAGGAGCAGGCAAGCTCGGATGATCTAGGGCCGTCTGTGCCCTGCGCGGGACCTTAGCAGGTTGCACATCCCACCCACCTCCAAACCAATTCTTTTTAAGGTGTAAAGCTTGCAAATGATGCACTCCCATTCATTGGATCAGTAAAAGCTATTTCCTGTCCCCTGCAAATATTCCTCAAACTGACTAAAACAAGGAAAAAGGGGGGGGGATCAAGAAGTGGGGACCAAAAGCCACTATTTAAAAAAAACAGAGAGAGATGCATGTAAACTCATGAAGTGTTGGCCACATACTGTCTTTTGGGAGAGAGAAACACAGCTAAGGATGCTGGGAAGCTGTTGAAGGTTGTAGGTAGGCCTAATCCTGCACTGCTGCAATGACAAAAAAGCCAGCCTCGTGGGCGGCACCGCTCCTCCTCTGATCTCATGCTAGGTGGGAACAGCAAGCATCCAGAAGCTTGGTCCTTCTCTTGAGAACAGGAGCGGATGAATTTGTCAGCTTTGGTTCCTCTCATTTTTCTGACAAAGTGTATTTGGACCTGATTCTGCACCTGTGTCACACACACACACACACACACACACACACACACACACACACACACACACACACACAATGCGAAGACTTGTAGATACATTTCTTTATCATGTGATTTCCCCCCCCCAGTGTATTTATTTATTTAAAATACTTTTACCCCACCTTCCTCTTTAAGAAGTACCTGAGGTGGCTTACATTATTAAAAGATATATGTAAAGAGGTATAAAAGGTGTATGAAAAGACAATAAAGCAAAAAACAAATATACCAATACTGAGGATCAAATAAATACCACACTAAAAGACAGTAAACCAAAAGTATATATATTTTGAGTGCCTCTTTTGCTAATGGTCACATCATTGCCAGATTGTTTTCCATATTGTAGCACATTCTTGTGTGTCATGTACACAGTTGTGTTCACTTTTTGTTCCATGCCAGGGGGTGAGTGCATCTTATCTGCTTCAGCAAAGGTCTCGGGACAGTTTCAAGGGAAAGGGGTCGAGCTGGGTCTGGCTTTTAGACCCCAGCCGGGATCTCGGCAAGATCGTTTTGCCTCTGGCTGTATGTGTGGCCTCGTGAGGATTTGAGGAACTGGAGGTGCAGGGATTTGCAATTGAAGCGATGGCGATATGTACTGGGAACTCGCCTGAACTGAATGCGGGAGACCCATTTTTCCTCTTCGTTTCGTAGTGCACCTCTGGCGATTCATCGGAGGTTACCCGGCCCTCATGGACTGCATGAACAAGCTGAAACAGAACCAGGTATTTAGCCAAAGGCTTCCTCTCCTCTGCATTCCTGTTCGGGGCGAGGAGGGGAGCACAAGCACTGCCTGTGTGCCCGATGGTGTTTGTAGTGTGGCATTGCAGCCTCGTGGAGCTTGGGACTCTTTGGGTCATCAGATTCTTTAGCCTACGACTCCCATCCGTCTGACCCAGCATAGCCAGTAGTAAGGAATGGTGGGAGATGTCGTTTTAGAACACGGAGAGGGGCAGAGATTTTCTTACTGTGATTCTTCCTCGTATCGTGGCCCATTTTTACGGATGGTGTCCTCTCACTATGAAAGCGAGCCAGCTGTCTTCCCAGGTGCGAGCTTCTCTTTTTCCCTCTTCTCTAGGAGTACATGGAATTCCGGAAAGAGAGGAGTAAAATGCTTCTTTCCCGAAGGAATCAGTTGCTGCTGGAATTCAGCTTTTGGAACGAGCCTCTGCCCCGAAGTGGGCCCAACATCTATGAGCTGAGAACGTACAAGCTGAAGGTGAGCTGGGGTTGGCGTTGCTTCCAGGACTGAGGAACGGCAATGTGTTGTAGGAAAGAAGGAAACGGTGGATATTTGTATTGCGTCTGCCCAAGAGATGATAATAATTATGTGCCATCAGGACAGTTCTGACTTATGGCGAACCTCTTGGGGGGTTTGAGTTAGAGAATACACAGGAATGGTTTACCATTTCCTCCTCCTGGGGAAACTCTGGGACTGTGCAGCTTGCCCAAGGCTACCCAGGCTGGCTTTTCCCCCCCTAGAAGACACAGTGGGGAATTGCACGTCCAGACTCTGGCTCTGCAGCCAGAGACCTGTCCAGCCAAGCTTAGACCAAAAGAAATTGATTTGTTTTTCTGGACGTTTCACAAACGTCTCACAAGCTCACTGTATTTCTAAACGAATGATGGGGTAGTGATAAGGAACGTCTGCATACACTGGACAAAATCCTACTGCAAAATAAGATGAACGTGAAGGGGAATCGTGCAAGCAGTCTGAACCAGAATATCGTCTGTCATGTGCTGAATGTGCAACTCCTTGCGCAACTCGACAGTGGCGCAACAGAGAGCTGGGGTGGTTGTAAACACCGGTTGAGCAGTGTCCACTCCCTGCTGCACAAGACTGGTAGGATTCCAGCCATGGTTAGATGATCTGCCCGTCCAGCTTCCTATTGTTCTTCCTCTCCCATTTCCTGCTAGCTCACCTCTTTGTAAGTGCTGGGAATTGGCCGTCACCCCTTTTGCAGGTGAAACCGGTGCTCTGTCTCTGAGCTGGTAATCACGTCCGGTGATGGCAGGATTCAGGCAGCACAGCAGCACCTTGCCTTGTGCAGCCCTGTATTAGCTCCACTTTGTTGCAATGCACCAGCTGAGGCGGTCATTTTGTGGTGCTTGCTGGAGGCCCTGTCTGCCTGAAAGGACCGACCAGAGCTCCAGGAAAGCAAGGGTCTAATCTTCTGGCCTTCTGGCCAGACCTGGGGGTTGGTCTACCCCTTTGTGGTGGAGGGAGACCGGACCTCTCGAAGTCCTACCATAAGGCATCATGTGAAGCTGCCCTGTTTAGTGCTGATTCCATTGGCACTTCGCTTCCCGGGAATGTGTCCGGAGCACTGTGTGCAGGGGGGCACCAGCCCTGCCCATGTTGAATCAGACGTCTGGATCGGGAGGGACCCCAAACGCACCAGGCTGGCACAGCTCTTCAAAACCTGCCCTCCTGGTCAGTCGGGGCTTCCCCAAGTCTTTGCCATTCAGGGGATGGGGGGGGTTGCCTTTGAAGTTTTGAACTCGGGCTCTCCAACCTGCCCTCACAGTCCTTTCCTTCTGCTTTCAGCCTGGCACCATGATCGAGTGGGGAAATAACTGGTAAGCAGCAAATGCTTCAAGGACCTTTTAGCCCTCCTTTGCCAAAAAGATCCGTTTCCTTGGGGAGCTTGTAAACCTTGAAGAAGAAAGATCTTCTGGCACAGGGAACTCACGTATGGTTTAGGCGGAATAATTTCTCCCTCTCCCAAATTCCCAGAGCCAAGGAAATCATGCAAGAAACAATCCTTGAGCTTCCTTCTTCTCCAATATTTCTTTGGCTTGCTTAGCTTCCCTCTCTCTTAAACAAGGGAGATGCCCGAGGCTAGGGGTGGTGGCTACTGGTGGCCCACTGGAGGTTGTGGGGTTGGACCTCCCATCAAGCCTACCTAGCCTCGCTGGGGGTGAAGGATGATGGGAGTTGTAGTCCAGCAACATCTGAGGGGGGTCACAAATTGCAGACCTCCTGCCCTGGTTTCAGAAGAAAGAAGGCTTGGCACTGGGGTGGCCATCACCAGACCCGCAAGAAACAGGCCAAGGGATTTCAAAGGCAAGAAGCTCACAGTTAGCCCAGCCGTGAGAGCAAACGTACTTTCTCCAGGTGGAATCCGAAGAGACAAAAAAAATATTTGCAGAAGACTAGCAGTCCTATCGCTGGGGTGCGAGGAGACCTACAGACACGTGTTTTTTTTCCTGCCCAGTTAGAGCCAGTGCGGTGTATCTCTGCCATACACAGAGACACTTGTCTGAGCCACCTTGCTGAGGTGCAGCAGCCATTTTTGAGAACTCTGCACATGCTCTAAGGCAGCTGCAGCTCCCCTGGAGGAAAGCTTACAACACTGTGGGCTCTTTGCCACATGAGGAACGCTAGTGGCGGAGGACATGATGGAGATACATGATATTTATTATACTTCATTTGGAATTGGGGGATGGAGATGCATGGATTAGCTTTCATATTTCTTAGACTAAAAATCCTATAATTCCCCATTTTGGGAGTTCGACCTGACAGACACCTGAATGAGGCTGACCTAGGAGAAAAGGCTCCAACTGGAAGGCTTTGAGTTCTAGTTACGCCCAGCTCCTCCAAGCTTCCTGTTCCTGCCTTGGCACTAACTGGGAGCTTTCGTTTTGAACACGAAACTCAGTGGAGGCAGCTGAGCCTCAAAACCTTCCGGGAAGATGTGTATAAGTCTGGCAGAATTCCCAGAATGAGAGGTTATGGGGCAGGTACTCCCAAGAAATCTGAAAATCCTCTTCTCAGAGACAAGCTTTTTTCCCTCTCTCTTAAGAATTCACTTGGGCCCTCGCTGGTACTTCGTGATGAGAGAGGCGAGGGAAAAAGTTCCTGCGGGCAGTGAGTTGGCCACCGTGTGAACCAAAAAAAGGTTGACTCGGTGAGCCTTGCACTTGGTTTAGGCACGACTCTGCTGAGCGCCCCTGAGCCGCCTGAGTTGTAGGCAGGAGGCCAGTCCTGCTGTGCTCTGACAGCGTCAGACCGCTGGCCGCTTGCTTTTTATCTAAACGCCCCAGCAATGACCGACGACTGTGTTTATCCTTGGTTTTGGATCACTGTTTTCTTTCCCTCTGGATTTATCAGGGCACGGGCCATTAAATACCGCCAAGAGAACCAGGAAGCCGTCGGCGGCTTCTTCTCCCAGATTGGAGAGCTCTACGTCGTCCACCACTTGTGGGGTACGTGGCTGTTCAGAAAAAGACCCATCTTTGGGGCGAGCTGGGCAGTTGGAAACCTCTGCTGCCTCTCCCCCGCTCGGGCGTTCGGTGTCCTTCTGGACAGAAGAAGACGCCATAAATAAACTCTTAAGGGCCTTAAGAGCTGAGTGTGCGGGACTGCGCCCCCCTTTTTTGCCACTTGCAAATTAGCTCGCTTAGGATTGGCCTTTGGGCAGTAAACACAAGTTTCATTTCTAAGTCTGATACCTCGGAGACGAAAGGTAGTGTGAACCGCGCCTCTCTGACACGAACGTACTTTCAGCCTTATTAGGACAGGTTATCTAGATCTGTTGTCCCGAATCCTCACAACCGCACTCCTTTGAAGAGGCAGCCAAACGGGTCCTTCCAGTTTCTGTGTTTCGTTGATTTCTTTGTTCTCCTTCTATCCTACTTCCCCTTCAGGGGGTGCTCAGGGGACCACACATGCTTTTTCCTCTCCCTCATTTTATCCTGCCAGCAACTTCATGAGGCCACTAGGCTAGGTGGAGGGGAACACGACATGGACCCGGGGCATCCTGGCCAGAGCCCAGCCGATGCCAGACTGTTTTCCCTCTCCTGGAAGCTCCCCTTCCTCCATTCAGGTGGGCGACTGGCGGCACTCCCAGTCTTGAAACCGCTGCAGCCATGGATGCCGGGGGGGGGGAGTAAACATACACAACCACTCTTGTGAGATTATGTAGGTAAAGAGGATTTGGGCCCCCTATGAATTTCCTGGCTTAGTGGAGACTTCAGCCTGGCTGTGTTGCGTTCTCGTGAGGGCTTGTCAGCTCCTACAGTGTTGGTTCCATTTTTATAAGCATCCCCATGTTAAGGTCATCCACTCTCCTCCTTCCAGCTTACAGGGACCTGCAGTCTCGCGAGGAGACCAGGAACGCAGCCTGGAGGAAGCGTGGCTGGGATGAGAATGTTTACTACACAGGTGAGAAAAAGCCTCCAGGAGGTCCCTGAGATTGGACTCAAGCTTTTCCTACAGCCAGCCTCCCCCTTGTTTCCTCCTTACCGGTTTTCCCCTTACACAACAGAACAGAAATGTCTTGGGTTGCAGTTCCCATCGTCCCCAGAAAGCCTTTGGGGTGGGTGGGGGTTGTAGCGTAACACCTCCGGGGACCACCGGCTTTGAAACGGTGGAAGTTCTCCTTTCCAGGAGACTTGACTTGTGTCCGGCCACCAGGCTTCCGACATAAGGACCGAAATATTTTGGAATTCCCCAGCCAGATGTTGCTGGATGTTGTTACCCTTAAATTAAAATTTCTGGGCTCTGTGCCAGCTGTGCTCTCACTGCTGTGGCGTCTCCATCTGTTTTTCACAGATTCCCGTCTTGGGGTGCAGGTTGGCCACTCCTTTCACCCCCAGATTGGGAGAATAGGGTTGAGCCCATCTGTCAGAGAAAGAGGCCTTCTGCCCGCTCCCTCCTGGGGCTCCCCCTGTTCCATCTCACAGCCGTGTCTCCAAAAGACTTCTCTCACACACATGAGATTCCATGTGCAATGGAGAGGATGCCGGTCTGGATAAATCATGGGATGAAAAAGGGAAAGGATAGCACCTCTCTTATCCCAGAGGCTAGAATGCATCCTGAGAGAGATCCTGGGCTTGCAAAGAGTCCTTGGGAAGGATGCTTGGTGAGTCTTCCCCGGCACACTTCATTGCAAAGGGACTGCTTTTGAGCTTTTTTCTCTGTTTGCAGTGCCTCTGGTTCGGAGCATGGAATCTCGGATCATGATCCCCTTGAAGATCTCCCCGCTGCAGTGATCCTGTCTCCTTGTGCCTAGTGCTCTCTGTGCACCCGCCTCAGCAGTTACACAGGAAGAAATGGTTTTTTCCATAAGACCCCCCCACCCCAATCTCTTTCCATTCCCTTTCCAAGCTGCTCTCTCCCTTCTTTCTCATGTCACTCTGGTTGGAAAACACACAAGTATATATCCCCCCCCCCCAAATGGAAACAGCGTTTGCTGAACTTTCCTGTCCGATTTGAGCTAAGACGTCATCCTTGCTCTGCTAATGGGGTCGACGTGGATGAACAGAGCATACACCCGGTCCATTGCTATGGATTGAGGGCCTCATCTGGCCGGGTGCTGGAGGGCCATTTTCAGAATGCCAGAAGCACCTTTTGGATCCTGGAATGCGCTCGCTTTTAGTTTTGCTTGCACCTCTGCTCTGTGTCGCAATCTTTTGTAGGGAGAGCAACCCATCTCTGGTTCCTATGCAGAGTCTTAGGTTTGCCCCCTTGAAGCTCAAGTCCCTCCTGCCACTGCAGGGCGCGCCAGCCATTGTTATTGACGATTTTGCTCCAGGATACAAAGTCCTCCCCAGCATAGCAATATTTTCCTTTCCTACGTTGAGGTCCGAGTTGAATCGCCATGCTCTTCTGTTAAGGGCTTCAGGTCCAACTGCCCAATGATACGAAGCTCCAGAAGGTCACCCTGAACTCAGCAAGAGGAGGGGCCCCGTTGGCCTACTCCAGTGCAAGGATTGAAGGAGACTTGTGTCTCGGTGCAAGGTTGTATTGGAGAGAAATTCTTAGTCATTCCGTCTCCTTATATTTTCATACTTGCTGTTCCATGTGACTTCAGTTGCTTTCTTTCGCAAGTTCCTCCCAAGTCTAGAGAGAGTGTCGTCTGCTTACAGAGCTACACAGAAGCACGGCGCTTCCGTACGAGGCCCTGTGCTTTGCAGAGTTGTCTCAAATGTGGCTCTTCTAGGTTCTCCCTTTTTTCACTTTCCGACTAGCCAGGAGCCAGTTGGAGTAACCAGATATCCAAACACAGATCCTCCACTGGGCCTTGTCGAAATGCCAAGGAAGCCATCGGAGCCCAACTGTTTTCTCCCCTTCCCAAAAGCTTTTGGAAACTGAGTGGGCCGTTTTAATTGCAGCCAAGGTGGGCCTGCCTTTGAGCACCCTCTCCAGCCCACTGTCCCAGCGGAGGTACGTGTCACAGGGTGGCGCTTTAGGAATGCATAACAAAAGTTGTTGCCCGCTTCCATCTTCTCCCCCAGCTGGTTTCACCACGGTGGCCTGGTGGCCTCGTTGTGAAGCAAGAAAGCCTGGCCTCTGAGTGGAACAGGGGCCTCTTCTCTCCAGGCAGGGGTGTCACAAACAGCCTTAGCTTTTTGCAAGAGCTATCATGATAGGTGGGATCATGAAAACGTGCTTGTCAATAAACAGTGTTCTCCCCTTTGGAGGGACCTTGTAAAACTGTCTTGAACGGCAAATACAATTAAAATATTTAATATACCAAGACTTATGTGTGAGAGGGATACGTGATTTAGCAAACATGCATGGCCGTTCTGTGAGGATCCTTGGAAATGTGGGGCTGTGTATAGGAGCAGAAGGGCCAAATTAGACCGGACACTGAGCTTGCCTTTAGAGGAGCCCATGGCATGGTCGCTATTCCATGTCCTGAGGATCAGAGTGGGAGATGAAGCTACAATTTTCTTCTGGTGATCCGTCAGAGCAAAGCATCCCGAAATGTAAGATATGGAGGTGAAGGATAGCTTGTGCTCTAACACATCTTTCACCATTTAAGGACATGCTTGCGTGGGAGCTGAGATTCTTGTCTTGTGGGACTCTCTCGGTCTCCTTGAGTCTTAGATCTTTCTTTCCTTAAAGAACAACACTCCCCAAAGTTCTTCATCAGGGATGTTAAATGAGTTCCATGTTGGGAGAATTTCCAACACAAAAAGGGGGAAAGAGAACCGTCTGTAAGTGTTTGCAGGCAGAAGGCCCCTGCAGAGAGACAGAGAGGACTGGAAAGAGGGAAGAAGTGGTGGAGAATAAGGAGAGGCTTACCAGCAGAGGATGGTGTTGTATGACACCCTATAAAGTTCTGTAAATGTGACTGATGGTTCGATAGAAACCTCGTGAAGAAACACCTTTGCATTAATGGGTCTTTACTACTAACACTTGTCAACATAATAGATGTGAAGGTTCCTGTACTGATTTGCAGAAACACAGAACAAGTTTCTTTTCTGGGAGCTTCTGAGAGGTCAGCAAAAAGCCAAAGGCATGTCATGTGCTTCATATCATCTCCCTGACCATCCTCCGTCTCCAGGAGCAAGGGGGAGAAATAGCAATATTTCTTATGACCAGCAGATGGCAACACAAGCCCAGGCATTTAGTCCTTTAGTCCGGTCCTGTCCAACTCTAGCGTGCGGTGCTTATCCCCGTCTCCAAGCCGTAGAGCCAGCGTTTGTCCTAAGATCGTTTCCGTGGTCACGTGGCCAGCGCAACTTAGACACGGAACGCCGTGACCTTCCCACCGAGGTGGTCCCTATTTATCTACTCACATTTTTACATGCTTTCGAACCACTAGGTTGGCAGGAGCTGGGACAAGCGAGGGGAGCTCACTCCACAGGAGCAAGGGGGAGAAATAGCAATATTTTTTCTGGCCAGTAGATGGCAACACAAGCCCAGGCGCTGCCAACGACGGCTTGGTCTTCTGACCTTGCAGCACAGAGGCTTCTGCGGTTTAACCCGCAGGGCCTCCCACATCCCTGCCAGAGTTATTTGCCCCCATCTCCTGTGGTCTGCTCTGCAGCAGGAGAGCTCAATGGGGAAAGTTGGCAGAGCTGAAGCGGCTGCTCTTGTCAAAACCTCCCTGCCCTGCCAGTGGGCTCTGGTGCCAGCTCAAAATGGATGGAGATGAATGCCTGGTCTTTAAGCCTCCTCACGACACAAGGTAAATGTTCCCTCATATCTTCAGTGTTTGGAAATTTTCCTTTAAAGGCTGGGTCTAAAACAGGGTTGGGAGCGTGTGAAAATGCAAACCTGCCAGAGTTATTTGCCCCCCTCTCCTGTGGCCTGATCTGCAGCAGGAGAGCTCAATGGGGAAAGTTGGCAGGGCTGAAGCAGCTGCTCTTGTCAAAACCTCCCTGCCCTGCCAGTGGGTTCTGGTGCCAGCTCAAAATGGGTGGAGACGAATGCCTGGTCTTTAAGCCTCCTCACAACACAGGGTAAATGTTCCCTCACATCTTCAGTGCTTCGGAAATTTTTCTTTAAAGGCTGAGGCTGAGTCTAAAACAGGGTTGGGAGCGTGTGAAAACGCTGCTTCTTTATTTCCCTCTTGAAGTGTGAAAAGTGACACAATTTTAATCTGCATTTTCTGGGCGTTAAACGGGATATGTTCAAAGATCAACGTCATCTTCAGAGCTTGCAGGCCATCCTCATAAACATCCTTCCTTTACAAGACCAGGGCTCCCAGCCTTTGCAAAATTAAGCCAGCATTCCCGGAGGCCTGTAGTCTGTCGGACACCAGCCGCCTGGTTCACAAACACGGCCTTTCCTCTTTCTGCTCTCTGTGACCACTAAGCTCCCCACAGATGCTCAGCTTGTAGGCTGCTGGTGGGCCCTTAAATGACTTGCTGAAGTTTATGCCTCTTCTACTCTACTCTGCAGGGAAGAATGTGGAGCTGCAGACTAAAACTGTCCAGTCCTCCACAGCAACTAAAAGTGTGCCGCTTCGTGTTTTTTGGACTATGTATCTCCTAGAATTCCTTAGGTATCCCAACTACCTGGGGAATGGGGGTGATGTAATTCGAAAACAAAGGCTTACACTCCTGTCCTTTGTCTTCATGATTTTAAATGGCCAATATGCCTATATTAAAAGTTGAACTTTAAGGAAATAAAAATAAGACAGAGGAATTCCACACACGCATATGTATACACGCAGAAAAGTCAGAGTATTTTCTTACACAGCATTGCTTGCAATGAGTAAATGCAGGAATTCTCCTAGAAGCATCAGCTGGTCTCCAGAGACCTGGGAGCCCTTGAGAGCATGGCAGCTAAGATGTCATCAGCTGCAGTGACCATGTACGGTCGATTATGTGGAGCAACTTCTGCAGAAGAACAATGTGCTGACTTTTATGCCTCTTTCCTCAATGGCTGAGATCATGTTGCTCAACATAGTAAGTTGCACTAGAGTTGGCCCATTGAGTCAACAGGAATTTGGTGAGGCAACTTTGTCAGGACTATTGATTCAAATAATGCTGTCGAAGAAGTTTGCTTCTAGTCAAAAATAGTCTAATTAACATGACATTTTAATTTGTTTTTCACCTTACTTATATTTCATATGTGTCTATAATGTTAAATTGTGCAGTGCCCTGATAGGTAGGAAGGTAGGTAGGTAGGTAGGTAGGTAGGAAGGTAGGTAGGTAGGTAGGTAGGTAGGTAGGTAGGAAGGAAGGAAGGAAGGAAGGA